TTGCTGAATTATTAACGTTGGCCACTGCCATTTCTCCACGAGCTCTAACTGCTTACAGTTTGTGAGAATTGTGCATCTCCAATGGAGTTGGTTATTATAGTTGAAAGTACATGTAGCCACCACATGTGCTTTTGTAATTAATGACAATCCCTTCAGAGTAATGATTTCATAATTTACACATGTAGGAATGTTCCACATGTGGCTTGAATTCCACCGAGATAATAATATGTTTTTGGATTTTTGTAATGAATGACAAATCCTATGGACTAACGGCCTGATAGAGTTACATATGAAGAAATGTTCCGTGTGAGGGTATTTGGTGGATTTGGAATGAACTCCAACAAGATATGCATCAATATCTTGAAAATGTGCTCCTTGAAAAAATGTATTTGAGAGAAGAATTTAAGACATGGCATCCACATAAGGTCAGGGTGTACTCATATGTTGAGCCATGATTGATAGGTCTTGGTGCAAACGTTTCAACTGGAGAATTTCTTATGTCCCTCAAGTGATTGTGGTAAAGTATGAAGAGACGGTATTGTACTTACAAATGCACCAACAACATATGCCGGCCAGGGCCGAATGCATACCTGGTGGCAGGAGCTGCCGCGCAAACGCCTCTCCGTCATCAAGTTCTACGACTACTGAGTATCTTTGTTGCGCATGAACAATCAAACATGCCGATCGTCGAGGGAGACCGCGACTAGTGTTCTGTTCTTGCCACACGAGCACGCACGGAGCTCGCCTTGCGTGCGAGATCATGGGGAAAGGGATGGATCACTCGACGTCCAACAGAAACCAAACCAAACTGGAAGGATTGGATGAGAGCACTGTTGCCAATGTGGATCACTTTGTCGTTACTAAATCATGAACAAGAGAAACGTGAACAGAAATCGCATCAACCATTTCAGGGCCACACTCCAACTGTGAGCTGCAAGAGATACACCTTCAGAATAGGCGATTTACATGGAGTAACAAGAGGACGAACCCGGCGCTCTGCAAATTGGACTCCTTCTTTTGCAACGCCGAATGGGATATCCAGTTTAACACCCACATCCTACATGCTCTCTCATCGTCTCTATCGGATTATTGCCCCCTCATGCTCGCTGATGTGAGGGGACCAAGAAGACCACATGCTTTCAAGTTCGAAAACTTCTGGCCCAAAATGACGGGCTTCTCGGAGATCGTTCGTAAAGCTTGGAACGAACAAACAAATCATGCTGAGCCATACCAACTGCTACACCACAAGCTCAAGACGACCGGCCACCGTCTCGCAGAGTGGAGTGGGGGCCTTTTTTCAAAGGCAAAGCTTCATTTACATGCGGCCCTACTAGTCATCCTACACCTCGACTTGGCCCAAGAGGAACGGATCCTCTCCTTAGAGGAAAAAGATCTCCGAACAAAGCTAAAGAGAAGGGTCATTTGCCTTTCGGTGTTGGAAAGGACACGGAAGAAGCAATGTGCAAGAATGGCAAGCTTGAAGGAAGGGGATGCAAACACAAAATTCTTCCATCGTCGGATAAATGCTAGGAGGCGAAAGAACCACATCTTTAGAATTCAACATAACCATGGTTGGGTCACCGACCACGACGCTAAGGAGGTTCTAATTCATGACCACTTCTCTGAAATGATGGGGAAAGGAGCCCACAGAACAAAGGACCTAAACTGGGAGGAGTTGCAACTTGAGACCCATGAGTTGGGGGACTTAGAAGTCAATATCTCAGAGGAGGAAGTCAAGGCAGCCATCAACGATATCCATAACGATAAGACACCGGGTCCAGATGGCTTCACTGGAATTTTCTTCAAGAAGTGTTGGGGCATCATTAAAGACGACATCATGAGGGTGATCCACCTCTTTGAGAACCTCCACGGCGCCAACCTGCACTGGCTCAACTCAGCCAATGTCGTTCTCCTCCCCAAAAAAGGTGCTGAAGGGATCTCAGATTACCGGCCAATTAGCCTCATTCATGGGATTGCGAAGATCATTGCCAAAATCCTCGCCAACCGCCTGCGACCACATATGAATGCACTAGTCTCCAATGCTAAGAGTGCATTCATAAAAGGGAGAAGCCACGACAATTTCATGCATGTTAGGAACCTTGCTAGACGCCTTCACAAGAACAAAACTCCATCGCTCCTCTTCAAACTGGAGATCCACAAGGCCTTTGACTCTGTCAAGTGGGAATACATCATCGATCTTTTACAAAGAAGAGGCTTCCCAAGCAAATTTAGGAATTGGATCACGGCACTCCTGGGCACTGCCACCTCCCGTATCCTATTGAACGGGGTGCCTGGCACGCCTATTCGGCATGGAAAGGGATTTCGACAGGGGAACCCGCATTCCCCCCTCCTCTTCGTCATTGCAATTGATCCGCTCAACCATCTACTCGACCTTGCTACTCGCAAGGGACTGCTTCACAAAGTAAGAGGGTGTGGCGCCACAATGAGAACTTCCCTTTATGCGAATGATGCTGCGATATTCATGGCCCCAATCAAGAGAGATATCGACAACCTTGCCGACATTTTGGAGTGCTTTGGAGATGTCACCGGACTTGCTACCAACTTCCACAAAAGCTCGGTCGTCCCCATTAGATGTGGCCAATGCAACCTCGAATGCATCCTTCAAAAGCTGCCTGCGGCAAGAGCCTCCTTCCCTATGAGACACCTTGGGCTTCCTCTGTCAATTTGGCAATTGAGGAAAGTTGACTTTCAATTTCTTGAAGACAAGGTGGCTAACAAACTGATCCCCTGGGAAGGAAACAATATAACCACTATTGATCGCACCACCTTGATCAAGTCCGTGCTCTCCTCATTGTTGGTATACTTCATCGCATCGCTCATTGTTCCGCTGAGCACTCTCCACAACACCAACAAGCTCCAGCGTGCCTTTCTTTGGTCAGGTTCTGGCAAGGCCACAGGGGCAAAATGCAAAGTAAACTGGGACCTCGTATGTCGCCCATACGACCATGGAGGCCTCGGTGTGCTCAACACTGTCAAATTTGTGCGCGCCCTCCGACTGCGTTGGTTGTGGTTTGAGTGGACGGAGCCGTCCAAGATGTGGGTTGTCATGGGCAACCCTTGCAATGAAAAGGACCGAGATTTCTTCTACGCCTCCACTTCTATCACTGTTGGAATGGGGCCAAGACCCCTTTTTGGGAGGCGCCTTGGTGCATGGCAGGAGACCTATTGATATTGCGCCTCTCATCCACGAAGCTTCCACAAGAAAAAACTGGAAGGTGAGACACGCTCTTAATGAGGGAGCCTGGATCAACAAAATCAAGATGACCGCCAACTTCTCTATGACACACATTCGTCAATTTGTTGAACTTTGGCTTCTGATCTCGGAATTCTCACTTGAGGAGCATGCAGAGGATGAGATTACTTGGAAGCATGCCAATGATGGTCAATACTCCGTGCAATTTCTTGGAATGGTCCACTCTCCTATAGATCACACGACCTGGAAGGTTTGGGCACCACCCAAGGTGAAATTCTTTGCTTGGCTGGCCATACAAGATCGAATTTGGACTGCCGATAGGTTGGCCCGTCGTGGATGGCCAAACTGTCAACGCTGCCCGCTATGCAAAAGAGAACAAGAATCTGGGCTACACCTTTTCGTCAAATGTCGATTCACCCTTCGCCTATGGAATTTGGTCAATGAGTGGGTATATTTAGAAGAACTTGACACATCTACTTGACATCTCGAGGACTCTTTAAAGGAATGGTGGGTAAATAGATCAAGCAAGAGCAGCCCCAACCGGAAAGCCATGGCCTCCCTCACCATGCTATTGGGATGGACCATTTGGAACGAACGGAACGCCCGGGTCTTTCGACAAAAGAGTATGCCTCCAATGATTTTGCTCAACAACATCAAGAGTGAAGCCATCCTTTGGGTAACCACCGGGGCGAAGAAATTGGGCAACATCATACCTGGAGAGTAACACTCTTTTGTTTGTTTTCAGTTAAGACGTGTATTTCAAACTCTATTCTTCCTTAATTAATATATGAGGAAAATCTTTTGCCTCGGTTTCGAAAAAAAATGAACGCTGGCCGCTCCACCTCTTCTCCACGAGCTCCTCTTAACTACTCTACTTCTCTCCAGGTACAATACCGTTCGAATCTACTAAGATTCTTAGAACTCTCCTAGTTTGCAGTAATTATTACGAAATTCTTCTTGTATCACGTCCGGACCTAGCATCTCGTCCTAACAAGCTACCTCTAACCAGAGGCACGCAATGCATGCAATTCTAATCCGCACATGTCCTCAGCCCGTCATCGCTATCACGAGGCCGATGCGATCCCGTGTTGGACTGGTAGCCTGCCTGATGTGTCGAGCTCAGGGCATGGATGGAACCAGGAGACGATAGGATGTCATGAATAACTAATAGTTGGGGCGCCACCGGGTGGCGCTGAGACGAAGCTGGGCGGTGTCAGATGGGAGACGCCCTTCCACTCTCCTATTTGCACAAGGACATGCCCGCCTTTTATTTACGTATATGTTCACACATGCACGTGAAACTGATCAGGACATTCCTAAAACCAATCAGATGCAACCAGAATGATTTGGTAACTTATTTCTCCTAGTAATTGTAAGCTGCTACAACATCTCCAACACTGAAAGAGGAAACTCTCAGCAGGAAGACGATTCATCCAGAGGTAACATACATCAACATGGAAAGCAAGAACACTAGCACTCATTGAAGCTTGATCAGAAATGCAAGCTTCTTTGGTTTCCTTTCATACATATACAGAAACCCTCATTCTTCTAACCGGCTAGATATGGAGCTGATTAATTAGATCGATATGAGTACCTACAAACACAGGAACAAGTAAATAGTTATGTTGATTTTGCAATGAAATAGAAGATGAACCAATCAACTTGAAGTAGCATTCCCCGCTTGTTCATTAGAATCATTCATCTTGTTGGATGCAGCACCAGAAGCGAAGAATTAGGTAGTAAAATTCCCCCATTTGCAGGCTCTCCATGAGGACGCCACGCTCGTTCACCAGGAGGGTCTTGCCAGAAGAGTGGACCGGAACCCATCATGCCTGAATGTGCCTGCCACGCAGAATGCGCTGAAAAAAATTAATTTACAGAAATTGAAATCCATTACGGCCACTGCACATGCATAAAAAAGATTAGGATAAGAAGCAAAGACAATAGCATCATAGATACTGACAGGTGCATATAAATACAGAGACAATGTTTATAACCTGATGAGGCAATGTTTATAACCTAGATGATTGACCTGCCGATAAGCGGAAACATAAAGTTGAATATCATGCTCAAAGAATGCGTATAAAAAGTTTAACTTCAAGATGAAAAACACAATAGCATGGACTTTCATACTTCAGCATGTAATTTTTTGCAGAATAACTGCTATAATGCTTTTTCAAAAATAGAGCTTACCTAAAAGAAAAAAATCTTGCTCAGAGGCTGAGGTAGGGATTCCTTCAGGCCACATTGGTATGACTACATAAACTGCAAATCGTTCGCCAGCTCTAATCTTGGTTGCAATTTTGAGGGCCAAGTCCTTTGGTATTAGATTGTCCGCACCTGCAACATCCCAAGGGATCAAAAATCCAGTTTGTGTAAATCATGTGATAACATTGAACATCAATGTTCAATTTACACAACAGTATCGTCAGCAACAAAGGCATGAATGAAACAGAATTGTGCCCTACCTATCAAAAGTAGAAAGAGCAAAATAAACCCATTTTCTGCCTGCAATGTGGCCTATCAAATAAACGAACGAAGAGAAAAATAAACCATGCTCTCCCTGCATTCCGTAGTGCGTGTTTTGCTCTGTTTTACCAGCTTAAGAATATGCAGGCAAATGTGGAAGTGAAGCTATGCCTAACAATAATTATTCCAAGTTAAAACCAGCAATAGACTCCTTACCATAGTTAAAAGAGTGTTGTTAGGCGCTTGCCTAGGTGTGCTTAAACGCTGGGCGTTGGCACGCTGGCATAATGTCGCACTGGCCCTAGGTGCTCAAAAAGGCGACCAGTAAGAAATCAGCATTCTCCGTCAATCTCCCTGGCAAGGATTTGACCTCCCTGATAAGGATTTGACCATTCGGACGAGAAATCGATCGATTCCGTCAAGGGGTTGAGATTCTCCAGCGTGAAATCGAGCTTTGCTGGCTTGTTGCCATGGGTGCAGCAAGGAAGAGGAAGAGGGAGAGAGGCAGTGCGAGGAGGATCCCTATAAATTTTGTCGACTGTGCACACACGGCAGGTTTTAATAAGAGAAGAATAGGATAGACGGGCCAGTGCTTTAATGGGCTAGGTCAGTCCATCTTACTTATTTCTTCACACCGGGTATGATGGAATTGCCGTCGACATCTCGATGCGAGATTGATAGCGATGGAGGCACCTACAGGAAGAACACATCAGGATTACACATTAGAAGGAACATGTACAGAACTGAGAGAAGTTCTGGTTGATAAATAGAGGTAAATAGTGAGACCATTTTTAAACAATTTGCTGCTTTATTTTAAGTCCAAATAATCAATTCACTACTGTTATTGGTAAGTAAAGATGTTCATTGACGCCTAAAATGTAAAGATATTCGTGTTCAAATATTCCACTTAGTTGTTGCAAAATAGCTTTCATTTAGGGATACTTCCGGAAAAAAAAATTGCACATATGCCTAGACAAAAACATTATCTTACTGCAATAACATTGCTATCAAGTAATGATGATTGTAGCGGAAAAACATAGCAGATGAACTTGTTGAAAACCTTTAGCTCAGCCACCTAAAACCATGTTGTATTGAGTGAGTTATAATGAGTCATAAACAATACTACTAAATATACACATAATACAAGGAACAAGACTGGGAGACATATGAGGAATTATTGCAAAGGCTCGTCAACAGCTTACATGCAAAAGCGATATATCTGTAAACATGGACATAACTGAATTTTGGGTTGGGAAGCATTTGAATTTCAGTATAGTTTTGTCCTTGCAAAACCAAATACCTCTAATTTCTCAACAATTCATATGATTGATAAGAACGAGAAAACAAAGTGGCCCCCATATGACAGTCTCGTCAACTGCATATCCTATTTTGTAAAGTAAACATACATGTGCTATTTTTTCCAAACAAATGTCGTCTTTGCATACAGGAGTGTTACTCTGTATAGGTAGATGCAGGACAACAGCCAAGCTGACAAACATGAATTAACATGTATGATGGGATTGGATTGAGTGAGCAAAAATAAAATGGATCACAAGAAATCAAATGTTTAAGCTTAAAAAAATAGTTTCTATAGCTGTCCTCTGCAGCCTGATTGGATTAGAAAACATAAGAGAGTTAGCTTTAAGTCAATAAATGCCTTTAGCTTTAAGTCAATAAATGTCTTTAGCTGCAAGACCTGCTAAGAATAAATCATGGCATTCAAGCTTCCACATAATATGTGCTTATAGATTCAAACAACTCACCACTGTCATCATTGCCACAGTCCCCAATGCAATATTAATTCTCAGGTAAGCAAGTTCCCATTACTTCCATATCTTCTGAAGAATATGTGTACATTTAACCAAAATGAATTATGAAGTACACTCACACAAGCACAAGCTCTCTATTGATGCCATGTACAGCTGTAGGCACCGATATGTATCAGATTTACATATGGTGGTAACATGCAGAGTCTAGTTATAATTTTATTTCTTTAAGTATTTGGATTATGCTAATACAGTGGTACATGCAGATTCTAAATTACAAGATCCGCAGAGAGTACGTATGTGTAGGAACACTCGAAACAAATAGTAATGGGAGTAAAACAAGGACTACACTATGTGTATTCTTGCAAGCATTGATGGAAAACAACTGATGACATGGTACGACCCACGTGAGCATCAGATTGATCCAGAATTCCAGATCAACATTAACACATACATGGACGGATCTAGATGAAATTGTGAAGTATCCCTACCGACCCTTGTTGGATTGATTGATTTGGAATGAACAGAACTGATTGTGCACTAGATGAATAGTACTCCCTCCGTCCCAAAATTCTTGTCTTAGATTTGTCTAGATACGGATGTATCAAGTCACATTAGTGACTTGATACATCCGTATCTAGACAAATCTAAGACAAGTAATTTAGGACAGAGGGAGTACAATCCAGCTGCTGGTAACCTGGTACCTCAGTGGGACGGGGTGGAGATAATAGAAGTGCCCGGCAAACATGACGGAGAATCAGATTACCTGGAGAAACGGCAGGAAATGAATGCTTCATGTCTCTCCTCCCCCGCTTGGCCTCCTTCCCTGTTCCCCATCCTCCTCTTCTTCTGATGGTCCTCCCGTCACCGCCACGCATGTTCCCCTCCTATCACCACCAACGAAAACCGCATCCCCGTCGACCAAGGGAGCAAGAAATCTGTAGCGCCACTAACTTTTCCAATTGGACTTCCCCTGCTGCTTCCTTGCTCCTCTCTGCCGCTATGTCCTGGCCGGGAGACGACGTCTCACCTCACCGGTGACGGCTCGCCCGTAGACGAGAGAAAAGGGGCGGCAGTGGCGCTGGTCGGGATGGAGCAGGGCGAGAGAAGAAGCAGCAGAGAAACGGCTGTCCTCTGATGGGCAGCGTTAGAGAAGCGATGGGGGCGGGGGCGGCGGCGGCGGCAACCCGGTGAAAAGTGAGAGAGGGAGAGAAAAAGAATCGTCCCGTGCGAGGGATGACCTACCAGCGTTTTTTTCTTTCTGTGCGAGCGTTGCACAGTAACACAACGACACGTGTACACGCTCGTTGCTCGCTCCTTCCGTGACTGTTAAAGGGATGTATTGTACCGCCCCCTTCTCGACTCCTCCAGTGTCCAAATCCTACTCAGTCTCGATCGTCTTTGCACTCGTCTTTGCACCCATCCTTTCCACGCAGCAGTACAATAAGAGACCTTAGAGCAACTCCAATGGGACGATCCATTTCATCCGCGGCCGTTTGTTTGGGGCGGCGCGGATATAAAAGTTGGCCCAACGCGCCGACCCAAACGGGCGCGCGTCTGTTTTCGTCAGCGGGTGACCCATTTCCGGCCCATTTTTGAGCCTAATTTGCGTCGGCGCGGACACGCGACGGACGCGTGCTTGCTCGCCTACTCCTGTCCCCGGGCCCGCTTGTCTGTGGCACATTTGCCTTCCCTCCCCCAACCAACAAGCAACCCTCGCCGCCGCCCATTTTGCCGGCGACTCTTCCAGCTGCCGCCACCTTCACATCCGCCCAGCACGCCGCCCCTGCCCCCAGTCGCCCGCCGCCGCTGTTTTGCCGCCGGGGAGCAAGCTGGTTCCCCGCTGCTGTTTCCCCCACGCCCAGCCGCCCCGCGACCAAAAAGACGCCTCGCCGCCCCAGCCACTGACGACTGACACGCTCATCGGACGCCGGCCGGGCAGCTAGCTGGTCTGTGGGCGCCGCGTCTCCCCTCGCCGGCCGTCTCCTTCTTCGACGCCCGCAAGTTGTTCGACAGTTTGCCAAGGTACGAAAATGGACTCCGCCGACGAGTTCTTTTTCCACAATTTCCTTCGCGACTCCGACGATTCGTCCGACGACGAGGAGATATTGGTTGCTGTGTTGATCCATCACCACCTCAACAACCAGCGGCCGTTGTTCCGTGGCTCCATTCCGGGCCACCTTCCGGCGTTGAATCGTAACCGGAAGAGCGGGCATTTCCTTCTCTGGAAGGACTACTTTGATACAACAAACCCGTTGTTCAAACATCACAGATTCCGCCGCCGGTTCCGTATGAGTAGGCATGTTTTCAACCGTATTAGAGAGGGAGTGATCGGCTATGATGACTACTTCGAGTGCAAAGAGGATGCCGTCGGCAAGATTGGTTTCTCCTCTTATCAGAAATGCACTGCCGCCATCCGAATGCTTGCATACGGAGTGCCTGGTGATCTCATTGACGAGTACGTCCGTATGAGCGAGTCTACATGCCTAGAGTCCATGTATAAGTTTTGCAAGGCTGTGATTGCTGTGTTTGGCCCTGAGTACTTGAGAGAGCCGACAGCTGAAGATACAACCCGTTTGTTGGCGATGAATGCTAGCAGGGGCTTCCCGAGGATGCTTGGCAGCATAAACTGCATGCACTGGGAGTGGAAGAACTGCCCTTCTGCTTGGCAAGGGCAGTATAAGAGACATGTCAGGGCTTGCACTGTCATACTAGAGGCCGTGGCGTCTCAAGATCTCTGGATCTGGCACTCTTTCTTTGGCATGGCTGGATCACACAATGATATCAACGTGCTTCAGCGCTCGCCGGTGTTTGCTAGGCTTGCCAAAGGCAACAACCCACCGGTGAACTTTACTGTCAACGGCCACACCTACGACAAAGGGTATTATCTGGATGACGGTATCTATCCTCAGTGGACCACTATTGTCAAGACAATACCCAACCCTGTCGGAGAGAAAAGGAAAAGATTTGCCCAAGAGCAAGAGAGTGCTAGAAAGGATGTCTAGCGTGCCTTTTGTGTTTTGCAATCTCGATGGGGCATCGTTCGGTATCCTGCTAATACTTGAAGCACGCAGAAACTATGGGAGGTGATGACTGCTTGTATGATCATGCATAACATGATTGTAGAAGACGAGCGCCCGGAACGTCTGTACGATCAAGGCTTTCAGTTTCAGGGTGAGAATGTTGTGCCTGAGCATGGAGTAGCGGCAACATTTGAGCAATTCACTCAGTTTCATGAAGACATGCGTGATTGGAAAACTCACGTGCAACTGCAAAATGATTTGGTTGAGCATGTGTGGACTCATGTTGGCAACCAACAGATGTATCTTTTTTATTCATTTTGCAAAACTATGTGAAACATTTTTATTTTTATTTGGCCTGTAAACTATACTATTTATTTGGGTGACCGACTCAAACGGACAAAAGGCGGTCCGTTTGGGTCGGCCCGTTGGAGTTACGGAATTTCCACTCATCCTTGTCACCACAGCGTGTGCACGCATGCACAGCAGTGCAATGTTCTTCTTCACACGCACATATATTCCATTCCATTCCATACGCCCCCAGTCGGCCGGCGTGTGATGTGACCAGCCTCGTCCATGCCTGGGAATGAATGAATGCAAGTGGGTGGAACACAACCCGAGTGGAGCGGACATGTCTGTCCGTCCGCACAGGTTCTGAAATCCAAACCCAAAAGGAAATAAAGGCAGCAAGATACACAGAGATCTTCTTCACATCCAGCAGCCAAGTTGGTTATTTGGCCTGGTCGATCGATCGACGCCTTTCGCATGTCAAAGGCCAAGATTCTTCCTTCACTCTAGCTATCCCTTTAGCTGTGTCAAACACGCTGCCTCGCCTTCTTATAAATACATGGCCAGGCAAGGCATTAAGACATCATCAGTTAACTACTGCACCAGCGGAGAGGACACGGGTGAGGGAGGTCTTGCATGGGGGCAAGAGGCCATCTTCGATAGCCAAGGATGATTTGTCTGTGAAACTCACCTGGCAGCCAAGCTCTCTGCCACAGAGAACAGGCGTGCAGCAGTTCCATGGGCAAGTCACCCTGGCTACCCAAGTACCCCTTACCAGTTTACCACACCCCATGCCAGACCCACCTTCATCTCATTCATCCAAGGAATTCACCCAAGGACCGGCAAATCATCATCAGGTAAGCCCCTTACCTTACAAACAAGACATACATGCTTGCAAACACAACATGTTTACAAACATACATGCAAACAAAACATTCCAGTGGTTACCTCCGCGCCTGGCCTGCCATTGTGGCGCTATCGAGCCCCAGCGGCATGGACACGCCACATTTGCTGCCACCCTGCCACAGTAATCAGTGGCAACCCCCTCAGCCTCCCTCCCCGGCATTTATCCCTAGCATTCCTTTTATGCCTTTAGCCAGTTGACTGGATAATCTTCTCCCTTCTCTTTCCTTTTCTGTATTTCTGAGAATCAGTGAGCTTGCAGTCCTGCAAGCTTTTACATTTTAATTTACAGGTAAAGAGGTGTGGGGCAGTCCAGATACCAAATACAAGCAGAAAACAAGCAATGCATAAGTGAATCGGCCTTTTATAGCCCGCACATGTAGTATAACAAATCAATTCAACTATGTTGCAGAAATTTACCAGTATTGGAGGCAGAACAGAGCTACTGTAAATAAGTGTAGTGTTGTTAGAACACACGTTCCTACTAGGAAGGAAAATGTTTTTTGGTAACAGGCAGTGGACTACTGGACTTTGTGGTGGGTCCTGGTGTACAAATACGATGACCAGTTGAGGAAAATGGTTGCCATTATCTAACATATCATGGTTGCCATGATATGTTATGGACATATCATGCTAAAGATCATTTTTATAAACGAAACCTCAACTTTACACTGTTTATGGACAGCAGCTTGGTTTCAGGTTCTAAATTAGCTCCCATCATAGCAGGACAGCAAAAGATTAATTAAATCAGCATACTGAAAGACTATATATTAGAGGACTTCACATGTTAAAACCATTCATAGCTGTCAGAGATAATAAGAAACTCTGAGCTACCTACATGCTCTGTGCTCATCATGGAAATGATGATGTGACAACTAAAGTTGAAGAAGAGCAAAATGTGAATGGTAGGTCAGTAGACAGGATATGTAAGGAAACAAATGAATTTGAAGTTATAAGAAAGTTTTGAGATGGATGAAAATTGATGAGAACACAGGGACACATAAATGTCTTTTGCTGATTCGATAATATTACAGTTTGAGCCCATAATAAGAGTAGGCTACCATATTTGCGTGGTGTTCAACTCATTACACTTTTCATCATAATGATCAGCTGTCAATCACTTGCACTAAATGAACCTCAGGATGGACAAAAACTACAGTTCGCGGATGGCTTCATGCTCAAGAAGTTCAGTATAGGTTTTGTTGGCACAGAACGATGCAGGAAGAGATAACTGATGTAAATTGGCTGAATTGGGAGGACGTGATTTCAAAAAATTATAAATCATTCTGTTCACTTGGCGTTGACTTTTTGTGAAAACTGGTTTCAGTGAATAATAGTAGTTCCCACTTGATATGGAATATTCCTCATAGGGGTCATGTGCTCGTGTCCTATAGCCTTTTGGACATCGAACTATGGCCTTAAGGGAACTCAAGAGGTGAGCATGTTTCATAGGATGGGTAAGATGGGTAAGGTCAAAATAAAGAAACTGGTACCCGAATGATTTGGAGAATATATACCTACCATAATCAGGAAAAGATTCAAAGGAAAAGATGCGGCGATGTGTCATAAAGAAAACTATGAATGGGTTCTTATGAGATCTTGTGGTTATAGTTTTGCTTCTGCCGTATCTACTTCTTTGAAGCACTACACATATTCTCACATGTCAA